CGGCTTTCTCCGCACTGCCCCATCCTCCACCCGCCCCCGTCTCTCCGAGAGCCTCCATTCCACCCACCCCACCCTGTCCTTCCCCCACCTCTCAGTCAATTCAGTGACAGCTCAAGCGCTTGGCTCCCGCAACCAAGTCGACGCAGAGTATTTCAGTAAGACATCCTGCGATTGGCCCCTCAGCTACCCCAGCGAAACTTATATGGCCTCAGAGACTGGGTCACCATCATGCCCATCAATCCTAAAGCCCGCCCCCCAGCTTCCTTTTCGTGGTACCCGGTCCCAGGAACGCCCTGAAATGAAGCTCTTTCCCCCGCGCCCCGCTCGTCCTGGGGCCTGCCAGCCATATCCACACCTCTCTAGCTTCCCTGAGGAAAGTGCTGGCCAGACCCAACCTTTTTCACTTCAAAGCGCTTCTTGCCCGCGCCGCTGTTGGTGCCGCTGGGGGTATCCACATCCATCGCTGCCGCCATTTTGGAAACACACGAACACCCGGCAACTGCGCTTGCGCACCGGGTCACACGTCGCCTCCTGCTCCCCACCTCAGGCTCCTCCTCCCGCACCCCTCCCCTTATTGGCGCGCGCGGGTGGAAGGGGCGGAGCCTTCGCCACGCCCCTTAAAGGCGCAGGCGGATGTTCTTCGCCCTCCGCTGGGGAGTAGGCTTGAGGCGGGGCCCGGCGGGGCCGAACTATGTGAGACAGCCGGTGGGAATGTCCGTGAGGTTTCACGCTGCTCGCCTTCAGGGCACCCTCTTGGCCTGATTCCTTCATCTGGGGCGGTGGCTGCCCTTCTTTGCCGGGACTTGCACCTGGTCCATTCTCACAGCGCTGCCCTCCGGTGCTGCGATGGAAGGGGCTTGGGCGGGTCTGTGGAAACCCGAGACTCCACACGGGCCTTCCTCTGGTGGTGGCCAGCTTTGGGGCTACGCGGTGTGGCAGTGTCCTGGAGGCCTGCGGCCAGGTTTCCCAGAGCCCGGGCACCAGCCGAGTTCCCAATGAGTTTGGGAAATGATTTGATGGGGAGAGAAGAGGCTTGAATGTTCTGCCCCAGACCTAACAGACATTCTGCAGCTCTGCCTTCGCTTTCTCACCAGAAAGAGATGGAGAACGCTTAATTAAGAGCCTGGGAGATGCCATATTACCTCTCCTAACCAGCCAGTCCTAAATGTCGTCCCTTTCTCCCCATTTCCTATCCCAATTTGGCTGCTTGAACTACAGTTAAACTAGTTTATCTGTAGTGGCTGGACTTGAATTTGGATGAGGCATTCTGATAATCTTACCGCTCATTTCCATCGAGCTAAACAACATGCTCCCACGTTTAGTGCAGGCCTCCATGGTTCTATCTCCTAAACTAGCAGAGGCATGACTGAAATATATCACCTTGAATTTTTTATATTTTTATTAGTCCTATAATCCTAGGACTTGGGAGGTAGAAGTAGAACGCCGTGGTGTTCCAGTTCCCACAACAGGACAACAAAAGAGTTATATTTGTAATGTCACATATCCTTTTAAAAGAGATACTTATTGGAGAGTAATGGAGTGTTGTTAATGTCATTGCTGAGCAGGGCAATACTTCCAGAAACAACACCACAGCTTTAACGTGCACAAAGAAAATGTGTGACAGCCTGGCTGGGCCTGCCTGTATGTGTTTGTCCAAGTTCTGCCTCCCATGTTAAAACTGTCATTCATTTATTATGTGTTAACAAATTCCCTATGGGATGCTAGAAATCTACAGTTAATTAAGATACTGAGGACATACTTATTCATTATTCAACAAATATCTTGAGTATGTATCAGGTCTTTTAAATTTTGTTTTGTTTGTTTGTTTTAAAGATTTATGCTGGGCGTTGGTGGCACTCACCTTTAATCCCAGCGCTTGAGAGGCAGGCAGATCTATAGAGTGAGTGCTAGGATAGGCTCCAAAGCTACACACAGAAACCCTGTCTCAAAAAACAAAAACAAAAACAAACAAAAAAAGATTTATTTACTTATTATGGATACAGTATTCTGCCTGCATGCCAGAAGAGGACACCAGACCCCATCATAGATAAGGTTGTGAGCCACCATGTGGTTACTGGGAATCGAACTCTGGACCTCTGGTAGAGCGGCTAGTTCTCTTAACCTCTGAGCCATCTCTCCAGCTCCAATTTTGGTTTCTTCTTTATTTTTTTAAAATTTTTTGGGTTTTTCGAGACAGGATTTCTCTGTGGCTTTGGAGGCTGTCCTGGAACTTGCTCTTGTAGACCAGGCTGTTCTTGAACTCACAGAGATCCGCCTGCCTCTCAAGTGCTGGGATTAAAGGTGTGCGCCACCAACGCCAGGCCACTTTGGCCTGGAAATCTGAGCAATTCTGTTGCTTCTACCCCTCAAGTGCTGAAGATAGAAGGGATGAGCCACCATGCTCAGCTACACAAGGTCCTACTTTAAACAGGAAAGCCACAGTGATGAAATCAACTTTTAGTAGGGACACAAAGCACCATCAATGATATCAGGAAGTCTCAGGTAGCAATGAAGGTTATAAAAGACAAGATGATGAGACTGAAGGGAGGAGTCAACAATATGTCTTGAGTACTATGCATATAGTTTTAAGAAAGGCATTGGACAATGTTGTTATTGTGTGAATATTATATATGGTAATTACACAAACCTAGATGGGGTAGCCTGTTACTGAAGCTATACTGAGCTTACTACTTCTAGGCTCCAAACCTGCACATACTGTTACTGTGCTGAATACCACAGTATTCTCCAGCCCTCTATGAATGTTTTTAACACCTGATTTTGTATTTCATTTATTTATTTGCTTATAACATTCCAATCTCAGTTTCCCCTCCCTCCTCTCTTCCTGCTTTCCCCTCCTTCCCCCCACCACACCTCCCATCCACTCCTCAGAGAGGGTAAGGTCTCCCCTAGGATGTCAGCTAAGTCTGTCCCATCCCCTTGTTGAGGCAGGACCAAGCTCCCCTCCAAATCTCCCCCGCCATGTCTAGGCTGAGCAAGGTATCTCTCCATAGAAAATGAGCTCCACTAAGTCAGTTTATGCATTAGAGTTAGATCTTGGTCCCACTACCAGTGGCCTCATATACTACCCAAGGCACACCATTGTCACCTGTATCCAGGGGGTCTAGTTTGGTCCTATGCCAGTTTCCCAGTTGTCAGTATGGAGTCAATCTCTCACTAGTTCTGGTCAGCTGATTCTATGGGTTTTCCCATCACGGTCTCGACTCTTTGTTTATACTATAGCTCCTCCCTCACTTGGATTGTACTCCAGGAGGTCCACCCGATGGTTAGCTGTAGATCTCTGCATCTGCTTCCATCCATTTCTGGAAGAGGGATCTAGCTTCTCTGGGGTTGTGGGTTGTAGGCTGGGTATACTTTGGTTTATATCTGGTATTCACTCATGAATGAGTACATTCTATATTTGTCTTTCTGAGTCTGTGTTATCTCACTCAGGATGTTTTTTTCTAATTCTGTCAGAGTCTCTGAATTTAAGGCCAGCCTCTTATACATAGAGGTCTAGGCCAGTCAGGGATACATAGCAAAACCTTGTCTCAAAAAGAAACACACAGAAAAAATAAAGATAGCTCTTTAAATGAACTAAGAAGACACAGAACACACAGGACATACATCATGAAAGGAGTTTGCAGGGGGAGCTGGATGAATAGATGTGTTACTGTGAAGCCACTGAGTGTTAATCATTCCTGAAATTCCTTTAGCTCTACCACATTGTCTGACTTGTGTTTTGTTAGTGTCTTTTTGAGACAGAGTCTCAGGTATCCAAGGATGGTCTGGAAGTCCTTATTTAGACAAAATGGACCTTGAACTTCTTGTCCATGTTCTTATCCCTTGTGCTAGGATCAGAGGCATGTACCACTGTGCTCTGTTATGCAGTGTTAGGGGTTGGACTCAGGCTTTGTGAATGCCAAACAACACTCTACCAATGGTGCCATATCGCCATCCCATTGGTATCTTCCAAAAACTCACCCAAATCAAAAGGATCTTTAAAACTCATCCTTTTCAACCTCTTTTTCTAAAGTCTGAACCAGAAAAGTCCTTGACAAAAACACACCTGTTGATTACTTTTACATTCTCATCCGACATACCTTTGTCCAGATTTTTGTCCCTACTATATATTCACTAGGCCAGAAGCATACTCACTTAGGGGACCATGTTTCATGTGGTCTGTTAAGTACCCTTGGGGTGAGATTAAAGGCTGAGTTAAATACCAGTTTGTCTGGAGATTGAATTTAGGGGTACATATCAGGCAGTCTACCAACTGAGCTACTTTCCCCATTCTTGTATTTCTTATTTCATGTGTGTGTGTGTGTGTGTGTGTGTGTGCACGCACACGAGAGCACTTTCTCGCTCACACTCTGTGTATGCAAGTATGTGTGCATGTGTGTATTCACCGGGCCAGAGGGAAGGGAGACATCCACTTGGTTTTCTGAGACAGGGTCTCTCACTAGTCTTGAGCCCCAGCTTCATTCCAGCTGGTTATGGGGTTTGAACTCATGTTCTTGCTGCCCTTTTTGATTCAAGGCTTCTCTATGTAGTGCTGGATGTCTTTGAAGTTGCTACAGGCTCAGCTTGAACTCAGAAGAGATCTGTGTGTCTCTGTCCCCCAAGTGCTGGGATTAAAGAAGACTGGGCCTTGCTATGTGGTTTATGTTGATCTGGAATTCTAGATATCTGATCTTCCTGTCTCATCCTCACAAGCAATGGGATTGTAGACATGCACCACCACACCCAGCTTTATTTCAGTTTTCAGTTTGTAATCTTTGTGAAGAATGGAGATGTAAGAAGGGAGCAGCATTAATTAGGAAGTCCTTTGCTTTGATAGCACTAAAATGGGATTTGGATGGCTGGGCGTTGGTGGCACATGCTTTTAATCCAGCACTTGGGAGGCAGAGGCAGGGGGGGCTCTGTGGGGTCAAGGCCAGCCTGGGCTCCCGAGTGAGGGCCCGGGGAGGCGCCCAAAACAAAAAAAAAAAAAAAAATAAAAACTAAAAAAAAACAATAAATAAATAAATAAATAAAGAAAGAAAAACAGGGGCTGGAGAGATGGCTCAGAGGTTAAGAGCACCGACTGCTCTTCCAGAGGTCCTGAGTTCAATTCCCAGCAACCACATGGTGGCTTACAACCATCTGGTGCCCTCTTCTGGTGTGCAGATATACATGGAAGCAGAATGTTGAATACATAATAAATATTTTAAAAAATGGGATTTGGATGATCTTAGGGCTCTTTATTAATTAACTAATTAATTAATTATTTTTTTCGAGACAGAATTTCTCTGTGTAGCTTTGGAGCCTGTCCTGGAACACTTTCTGTAGCCAGGTGTGTGCTACCACTGCCTGGCTTTTACTTTCCTTTCTTGAGACAGGGTTTCACTGTGTAGCTCTGGCTGCCCTGAACTTCCTCTGAAGACCAGGCTGGCCTCCAATGTTACCACTGCCTAGTGGGTTTGATTTTTTTGTTTTGTTTTCCTCAGTGTTAGGGATCAAGCCCAGGACCTCCTTATTAATCAAGAGCTTAGTCATTCCAGCACTCCCTAGTT